TTGCTAACATCACTTTATTTGGTTTAACTATTTAATCGTCACATTTTTCATCTTTGATTTAAATTATTCTTTGGTGTAAATTTTACAAACATATGTGAATTTCGAAAGAGAGACAACCCTTAAAAATTGTTTGACACTGCTTAAATACTGAGAGAACGATATATTTATATTATCGACTACACAAAGAAATGTACACTCCAGAAGAAAGAGCCCACGGACCATCACTATCAAGAACAATTAATAATAGGAAAGTATGGTTTGTTTAAAATTTTGGTATAAACCAATCTCGAAGTTTTTTTTACAAATGGAATACACCAGTTGACCCGATGTTAATCAGCGTGGTAATTAGGAGATGGACGGGAAAATGCACGAATTCGAAAGCCGTCTAAGAAGATTACCTTTAGGAAGTCTAATATCATGGATTTAAAAGGAGAACGGTCACGTTAACATTAAATTTAGTAAAAGGTAGTCCAAGACATCATCATTTCGAAACTGAAACCCGGTTTATCATTACAATAAAAAAAAAAACCTAGAATGATTGATAGGTATGATAAGTTATTCCAAATTTATTACCGGTGCCAACATTTTCTTTTATGAAATTGGTTGAAAAATTGGCGGTGAAACTTTTGTTAAAAAAGTCAAATTGTTTTTAAACATCTTTTTTCCAAGGATTTCAGCAAAAATTAAAATAGATGTGTAGATATCATATGCTGTTCCAAATCGATCCCCAGTGTAAAATTTCCTGTTAAGTGATATTGTAAAACTTAATTTGTGGTAACAAAATTACAAAATTTAAGAAGCATCTTTTTGCGCTTGAATTCAACAAAAATTGATATTACGGTATAAAATGCTATTTCAAATTGATTCCTGGTGTCAAATTTGCATTAAAAATTTAGGTTTTTTTTAAAGGATCTCAAATTTTGAAAAACATTTTTTTGTAAAAGGATTTCAACGAAAGATAAGTTTAAAAGTTGAATGTGCTACTCAAAAAATGATTTCAGGGGTCAAACAATATCCATTGACCACCATTTTCGAACAGGCTGCATAAATTCATATTGCTCGAATTTTACCGAAACTTTATATCTACGCTGTAATTATCCCTTTTATCGTAAAATTTAGTTTCAAGCGACTCGAATTGTCAAACAAATTCTCTATGTTCTCAAAATCATCAGCGACATAAATAGTGAAATATGGGTAGTGCATCAAACTAAATAAAACAAAGTAACAAAAAAATAAAACAATTTAGTATTTTACTTAAGCTATAAATCCAATCGACCTTGATCCTTATCGACGAAAGGTTTATTACATTTTGTGTTAATGTCGCTCCTCTCCTCTCTTTCCTGATATTTTTTTCTCTCGATTGACCACTCCGCCACCGTAATCAGAGACAAGACAAGTTGTGAACCTATTTCATAGATACTACAAAAGGTCATCCATATACATAACATTCTGCTTGCGCAAAAACTATAATAAATACATGTTAAAGACAACTATTGACGTAGCTCATAACTAGTTTCGGACATGTCTTTTGAGTACTCATACCCTTATTTTTTTTATGTCTCACGCAGTGAATAATGAAGTCAAAGAGTAAAACGCCTTTCTCTTGTTTCTGGAGCTCGTACAAATAAGTTATATATTCAAAACAAGTATCAAATATGAACTAATCCATTCTGTTATGTCTGTCTATATATGTGGTAAATATATCAAGTTTGCAATGGTCGTTTATAAGACAGGACGCATATATTGTAATTTAATTATACAAAACATCTTGAAGCTGTTAAATGGTCTTCGGAAACAGACATGTTTCTTACTTCATGACAAGCTCTTAATCACACACGCAATGTAGCGAATACATTTAAATGGAGACTACCAACGATATCAGTCATCATAGATATCTGTAAAGTGCAACACACAATATCTGAAAAGAGCAACACACAATATTTGTAAAGTGCAACACAAAATATCATTAAGAAATAAGACATGCAACCACTAACGAGCTCCATTAATTTGAACAGGTACGTATACATATGGAAGGGTTAAACTGACCCGTCCATCTATTAAAACATGCAGAACAACAAAAGGTACCAAGTAAAAATTACAGAAAGCTTTTTGGTATGTATGTACATCAGGTCAATTTTGGTCAAATATCTCTTCACTTGTTTCGATACTTATACACCCTTGGCTTCAAATATTTGGCTTTGAGCTTTCCCGATGAAAGTAAATCCAGCAAAAGCACTTTTGACGCATACAGTTCATAAAGTGTTTTTTTTTATCTTCATTGTCGAGCCTTCGACTTTTGTCGAAAAAGCGAGACATAGCGATCCTACATTCCGTCGGCGTCGTCGGCATCGTCGTCGTCGTCGTCGGCGGCGGCGTCCACAAATATTCACTCTGTGGTTAAAGTTTTTGAATTTTTAATAACTTTCTTAAACATCCTGGATTTCTACCAAACTTGGACAGAAACTTGTTTATGATCACAAGATTATATTCAAAAGTAAATTTTGTAAAAAAAAAATTCCATTTTTTCCGTATTTTACTTATAAATGGACTTAGTTTTTCTGCCAGGAAACATTACATTTTCCTGTGGTTAAAGTTTTTGAAATTTTAATAACTTTCTTAAACTATCCTGGATTTCTACCAAACTTGGAAAGAAGCTTGTTTATGATCATAAGATAGCATCCAGAAGTAAATTTTGTAAAAAAAAAAATCCATTTTTTTCCGTATTTTACTTATAAATGGACTTAGTTTTTCTGCCAGTTAACATTACATTCACTCTGTGGTTAAAGTTTTTAAAATTTTAACAACTTTCTTAAACTATCCTGGATTTGTACCACACTTGGACAGAAGCTTGTTTATGATTAAAAGCTAGTATCTAGAAGGAAATTTTGTTCCATTTTTTCCGTATTTTACTTATAAATGGACTGAGTTTTTCTTCCAGTCAACATTACATACAGTCTGCAGTTTAAGTTTTTAAAACATTTATTAGATTCATAAATTATCCTGGATTTTTACCAAACTTGGACAGAAGCTACTTACAATCAAAAGATAGTATAGAGAGGAATATTTTTATTAATTTTTTTCCTCATTTTTGTTGAGCCTGCGATTAACAGCAAAAGTAGGCGAGACACTGGGTTCCGCGGAACCCTTACGAATTTTTTTTAAATAGAATGGTGTATTTTACTGTAGTTACTTGTATAAAATATAAAAATATATTGAAATGAGACTTTTAATAATAAAGTTACTTTGGTTATACTTTTTTTTGTCGTTTTTGGTTAATAAGCTCTTCATATTTTAATAAGCTTTGGATTTTCAATTATTTTGGCCTCGTGCATCACTGAAGAGACATTTATTGTCGAAATGCGCATCTGGTGTAAAAAAAAAATTGATAATGTTATTACACAACATAGTTTCGATAGCATTTATAATTAAACATAAACATAATGAATCCAATCAAACACTGATTAATTGTTTAAATGCTGAGATTGTATTTTCTGCTTGTCTAAACAGTGGTTGAATTTTTTCATTGACTGCTTTTATAATGGTTTTGCTGTACACATCTATTGTGAATCTGGCTTTGCAACTTTTTTTTATACATATATACGATTTGGATCCATTTTTCAATACATTAGATATCTTTTATGTATGGTCATAAAAAATGCAGTCGTATTTCCTCCTCTATTTATCTTCGAATGAGTTATGTCAATCTTGTCACCTCGGACATATGAACACTGTACAATTGTTTACCCATCAGTGACTCTCAGTTTTGCATGAGAAATGAAGATGAACTCACTTGCTTATCCAGGGGGATACCCTACAAAACTTCTCGTATACATGATACAATTTATATTAAAACGTTCATATTTGACCTGAATTATGAAGCAGTATTTATTTTTTTTAGCGCAAATAAAATATAGCCTTGTGGCTCAAATAAAATACTGCATGTCTCAAAAATTGAGCAAATGCAATGCGCCCATATCCATTCTTTCCCAAAATAGCGGAAAATACCCCAAAAATATTTTCTTTCAGCCAAAGAAACAAAAACAAACCTCATTTTTGGTATTGTTGGCCACACATTGATACTATTAATAAGAACTCAATTCATGCAATTGATCTTTTTATATAATTTAAATCTGTTTTTTAACAGTGTGTGTGTTTTTCATTGGATTCCTCGCGAACATAAATTTTCTTTTTATATATTCAGTTTTCGCGCTGGAGTTTCGCTTATCAGATTAGGTTGGCTAAAATCGACAGACTCCCTATAGTAACCTTTTTCTCTTTTTTAAATGTGTTTCAATTTCATGCAAATTTTGTACAGTCTATTTTGCAAGAAATTTAGGAAATGTGAAGATGAATGTTTATTTTTCAGATAACCTATATACATATATATAAAAGAAACCTACGCGTATATTTAGCTGAGTCCGGATTAACTGTTTTTGATCTGGAATCAATAAAGGTAAATGAACTTTAGATTTCCCAGCATCCATATAGATAACAATACTTAAAAAGTGTTAAGAGACTATAAAATACGCTGGAATTTGACATTACGTGCTATTTGAGTTCCGAAACATTAATTTTAACAATAGGCATGTTGACCTGTTTGTATGCACTTTGATCTTTTAAAAACTATAAATTGTACGACGCTGAATTAAGATGTAATAAAACATATTTGGAATGTATATATAGTATTTACACGGAGAGTATCTAACTATATCAGAAATAATTTCACTGGAAGTTCTCATTCATTGTTTTTAAGACAAGACGAAGGAAAGACTTACAAGTATTATTTGAATTTTAATTTTCGTTGCACTCTGTACGAGGAGTCAATCTTGCTTACATTTGTAGTTGTAAACAATAGTAATTGAGGTAAATACCTCGAATATTATTCCACGCTATGATGCATTAAATAATATGAAAGGATTGTTCATATATACTATACGCACTATTTATGATATTATTATAGCATTAATAACATAAAATGTCATTTTCATGTGTTTAGAATGACAGTACAGTATGAGCATTCATACACGTGTAAAGAATTTAGTGTTACTGGGAAATAGACATCAAAAAGTGGCCATTCTTTGTTCTTTTTGTATTGCTGGGATTATCATTTTATCAACAAATCATGGTAAGTAGAATCTTGCGAATTTATACTTTTATGTTTTTAATATATCTTTATGACACATCTTATTGTTTTTTATTTAATTGTTTTAACTCACCTGGTAGCCTGAATAAGCTACCGTTGGTTCATGTCTTTCATATTTGTTTTTCGCAAATTGTTTTGTCATAAGTTAGACCGTTATTTTCCGCGTTTGAATTATTTCACAATTTTTCATTTGGGGGCCTTTTTTAAAGCTTTACGGCCCCGGGATTTATGACTGGTAGGCCCCCTACCAACACATCTCATTTAATGTTGAGTTGGTGCTAAACATGGCGGCATTGATAGCGCTTAGTCATACCAAGTAGAAAGTAAAAGCAAATATAATTTCCATGTAAAGAACATCTGTTTCTTGAAAAGCCTTCATCGTGTACGTCTATAACAAATTGTTTCGACTCTTTAATAAGTGTTAAATATACGGGTGGAAAAGCTGCAATATTTTTCAGATTGTAGAAGAGAAAGGATATTGACGGATAAACTCCTCCAATGAATTTCTATCTGATTAAAATTCAGATCTATTCTTAACTCGCTTACTCATAACGAAATTACACATATATAATACTTTAGATTGATTGTCGTAAAATTGATATTCATATCTTTTTATTTATTTTGATCAGCTCTTACTCTTGAGATTCACGTTTTGGTAGCTGAAAAAAAACTATAATGATTAGACCCCCCCCCCCCCTCCCCCCCCACCGGGAAGACCCCCCTCTTTTATGATGCATTGATGAAATTTATACTTCATCAATATCTGTGACGTACAGCGTTGTAAATATTTCCCTTGAATGTCATCAGTGGTATGTTTTATTGCAATCATGGACAAGGAAACGTTTGTAATTGCTAGCGGTATAATAACCTTTTGTGTTGTAAATTGGCCTTTTTGTATATTCGTTTATGTTATATTTCATAGTGGTCATTTATTGTATTTGTTGAGGGAAAAGTTGTACATACACAATACCCTTTCAGTCGTCGGCTAGTTAAGAATTTTGAAAGCATTAAATCGAAAGTCCTAAATTTCCGTAAAACATCCTTTTCTAGCTCACCTGGCTCAAAGCCTGATCAGCAAGACAAGATCTACGAATAAGTAGGCATTGTCGAAATCATCATTCGACTCCTAATTGGAGTAAATGCCCTTTGATGACGATTTTTACCAATTTTTTGCGTTCGCCTTATATCTTAAAAATTATAATAGATAGATAGAAACTTAAAGAAGGAAACAAGATCAGCAAGACGAGATCCACAAACTAGTCAAATTTTGCCGATATAGTTAGTAGACTGTCACTCTTCATAAGAGTGATTGTCCCTAAATGAGAATTTTTTTACCCTCTTTTGTGTTTTGTGCAATATGTGTAGTACCATCATCTACGCATTGCAGAGACATGGAATACGTTTTATCGATTCAAAATTATCTCCAAAAGAAAACGTTTTAACTTTTTTACTTAAGATAAAATTGAGCAGTTATAAAAAGTCAACAAAGATGGCTTATCATTTTCTACGCCATACGCACATTTCGACTGTTTTCTCCCATGAAGAACTGAAATTTCACATCATCAATGTACGACTCGTATTCGCTCTAAGTAATGCATTTGTTGTTGAAAATTCTTTCTGGGCAAGATTTTATTGGATACATATTTTTTGTTGAGCGGCAAGTGTCATTTGAGACTTGTTTTGATTTTTGATACAATTTTTTGTTGAGCGGCACATGTCATTTGAGTTTTGTTTTGATTTTGGATACAATTTTTTGTTGCGCGACAAATATCATTCGAAACTTGTTTTGATTTATGAAGTTAAAATATTTAAGGTTAACAGTACTATAGAGGACAAAGGCAACAGGTTGAAGTAATTACAACTGTACTAAAATCTATAAATGACTTCACGAAGACCCACACCAATGAGGAGAGCCTTCTGTTTCCCTCAAACGTTTCAGCAGCATGAGCATTAATTATAACTGTGTTAAAATAATCTACTGTCAGTTTTATGATGGGAAACTATTTATATCCAACATGAATGAAATTTTCTACCAAATATTTTAGCATAGATGATTTAAATTGTGTAAGGAATTTACAGCAGTAGTTATTTTACACATAAAACCTGCCACATATAAGTTAGAGGTTGTATGTTATAACCTTTAAGATGAGAGTTAAATGGCTATTAGGCTGTTTTTCATGCTTGACATGTATTAAAATGCCACTATAAATTGGAAGTTCAGCAAAAGAATGCTTAAGTATCAAGGGTGTTGAGGGATAAAATACTATTTCCAGATATAAAGAATTCGTTGATCGTAAAGGTGGTCATCTTAAAAATGAATATTGATGTTTGCAGGATGTTATATAATGCGATTAGTAGACTACAGTTATCCGTGCATGTAATAGAATATTCAATAAAACAATGCATACTTGTATTAAGATATGTTTCATAACTTCCGAAATTCTTCAGATTTTTCTTGATGATACATAACACTTATATATAAAAATAGGAAGATGTATTGGTGTTATTTCCTTCCGTTTTCATATAACTTGTCTTTGAAAACATTATGCCATTTTTTATGAAATCAAATCGTTGAAAATTTCCTAGCAGTAGTTAGAGAACTTTAGGTAAAGGCGGTTATTTAGACTTGTACATCAATGACATACGCCTTCTCTTTTTCGAATTTACACAACCCCCCTACACACCACCTTATGTTGTCAACGTCCAGACTTTCCGTATATAAATATAAATGCATATATATTATATATATATAAAGTGCCTAGAAAATCAACCTAACAATGTTAGAGTAGATCTGATTCTTTACCGCCTCCCCTAGCGGGGCTAGATATATATGAATATAAAGTTACTTCATCACTCCTCCCAAATCAGAACATGGGTATAGCGTTAAATGGCCGAATAAGATTTCTACCTGTCCTGATAGAATATAGATGTAACAATTTTGTTTATCATTGAAACTAAAGGGGTTCTTTTTGCTGATTTGACCCTCTGAAATGAGCATTTCAAATGTTTATTCCTGATTTAGACTAAACACTATCATCATATATATGAGGAAGACAATTAAAGTACAGCTTGGTAACAATAACAAATATAAGACTCAAATATGATATGTTTAATGCTATGTTTGATCGGTTACATCACCAATATAAATAAACATTTTCATTAATTAATAATAATAAAAAAATACTTAAAATGTGTTCTTAGTCCACATGTTTTTGTGTCATAATGATATATACACACCAACGCTTACCGCTTAGCTGGGATAGTCATAAGACAGCTTCGATTAGACAACTCATACATGTCGTAAGACAGTCCAAAGATATGTCATAGGACAAATCTTATAGCAGCTTCGGCGGCCCATGCATGATTAGGACTTATTAGGCCGTTGCATGGTTTTCCTGTTTGAATGGTACTACACTAGTCATTTTTGGGGCCCTTTATAGCTTGCTGTTTGGTGTGAGCCAAGGCTCCGTGTTGAAGGCCGTACTTTGACCTATAATGGTTTACTTTTACAAATTGTGACTTGGATGGGGAGTTGTCTCATTGGCACTCATACCACATCTTCTTACAATGTATATCAATTATTTAGTACAGCTTTGAAAACCAGTCTAAGAAGTATCATAGGATGATCTCATACTAGTAATAGTTATAAAGTAGGTCTTACAATACAATGTATGTCTTAGTGTACTCTCGAAAACCAGGACATAAATTTAGTACGTCAGACATGCGTTTTGTCTACTGTTGCTTAAATCATATCAGTTGGAAGGCCAAATAATTACAAAATATAAATTGCGAGTTGTTTTGTAGGAAATTAGATTTCACTCGTTTCAGTACTTCACGCTTTGGTTTACGTGGTCTAAACTTTGGCTTATTTACTGAGATGATGTATTAATGCATGCCAAGTAGAAAAGACAGCTTAATGGTCAATTTATTTCATATTTACGTCGGAAAAACATATATTAAACTTTGATTTATATTTGTCGTAAAATAACTTTGTAAATTCTTTACACAACCTAAATCATCTCCGTCTGTTTATTTGAAACAAAAATCATTCCTTTATGATTAACCTTCCATAAAAAAGTAAACACAACGAACTTTCCAATTTTAAATGCTGGAAATTTGTAGGAAAAATCCAAACGTACAATGTGAGGTTCGAACTTAAGAACACAGCTCACTCCTGGTATGTGCACACTTTCAATCTTTTTATATTCTGATATTATTCATCATCTATTATAAAGTTGATAATTCAAACTTTTGATTCAAACCGTATTGCACATCTTGAAGTAACGTATTATTGTTTATATCCTACTGTCTTTACGTCTATAAAAGAAGCAGATCTTTGGATGTCTCTTAAATTCATTTACAGTGTGTCAATACTCGACGTAAGTCATCATCGAAGAGCCTATATTGATCTGTATATGAGTTATTTTCATGTTGTTGTTCGATTGCTGTATCGTTGATTTATATAACATATCTCCTTTCATGGTGTTTTAAAAATTTCTCTCTCAATGAAATTAAACAATTTTTTAAAATCAAAAAATGATATAATATACACAAATGTTTAAATGCACCTGCTTTTTATGTTAGAAAGAAGAGATTTTAAGGGCCACTTTGACCCTATAATCGAAGTATTTATACAAAATCATGTGTTTTTTGTAAAAATTATGGTTTTTTGTCGAGCCTGCGACTTTTGGTCGCAGAAAGCTCGATATAGGGATAGTGATCCGGCGGCGGCGGCGGCGTTAGCTAACTTCTTAAAAGCTTTATATTTCAGAAGGTGGAAGACCTGGATGCTTCATACTTTGTATATGGATGCCTCATGTTACGAAGTTTCCGTCAGTCACATATCCAATGTCCTTGACCTCATTTTCATGGTTCAGTGACTACTTGAAAAAAAAGTTAACATTTTTTGTAATGTTAAATTCTCTCTTATTATAAGTAGTAGGATAACTATATTTGGTATGTGCGTACCTTGCAAGGTCCTCATGCCCGTCAGACAGTTTTCACTTGACCTCGACCTCATTTCATGGATCAGTGAACAAGGTTAAGTTTTGGTGGTCAAGTCCATATCTTAGATACTATAAGCAATAGGTCTAGTATATTCGGTGTATGGAAGGACTGTAAGGTGTACATGTCCAACTGGCAGGTGTCATCTGACCTTGACCTCATTTTCATGGTTCAGTGGTTATAGTTAAGTTTTTGTGTTTTTGTCTGTTTTTCTTATACTGTATGCAATAGGTCTACTATATTTGGTGTATGGAATGATTGTAAGGTGTACATGTCTAGCTGGCAGGTGTCATCTGACCTTGACCTTGTTTTCATGGTTCAGTGGTCAAAGTTAAGTTTTTGAGTTTTGGTCTTTTTTTCTAATACTATATGCCATAGGTCAACTATATTTGGTGTATGGAAATATTTTATGATCTATATGTCAGTCACGCAGGTTTTATATGACCTTGACCTCATTTTCACGGTTTATTGATCAGTGTTAAGTTTTTGTGTTTTGGTCTGTTTTTCTTAAACTATAAGCAATAGGTCAACTATATTTGTTATATGGAAGAATTGTTAACTGTACATGTCTGCCTGGCACGGTTCATCTGACCTTGACCTCATTTTCATGGTTCATTGGTCAATGTTTAGTTTTCTTGGTTAATGTTAAGTTTATGTGACAGTTGTAATAAAGCTTTATATTTAGGACTATCAACATAATATTAATGATTAGTAAAGAAGGCGAGACATTTCAGTGTGTGCACTCTTGTTATTTAATTTTGTTCGAATTTCAGTATACGGTTTGATATAAATATTCAACAGTACTGAAAGGATGAAAGCTGACACAAAATCTATCTTTTTAATCTGTCCGAATAAGAGGTAACGATAGTTCACCGGAAATACACTTATAATCTGTAAACCATGATTTCCAAAGGGAGCGAGACCGTGTCGACATGGTCAGTGTCTCCTGTTATGCGTCGTTGGTATCTAGATTCAGTCAAAATGTCAAGATAAGGAATAGGACACAATCGATAAAGCGGTATACGCATAGTTTTGACAATCATTTATAAGTTGGGAAAACCATGAAAAACAAATTTATACATATCTGCACTAGAGTTCTTCTTCACACAGACAAATAATGTGGTAAAATATTTATGTTGGTTCTTGTATGCTTTCCGTATTTGGAGGTGAAAAAAATCAAATGAAAAAAAATTGAAAAACAACACGTTTAATAATTTCATGCGTCCGAAGCGCTTTTCTTGATTTACCTTCATCAGGAACGCTCAAAGCCAAACATTTGAAATCCGAGGATGTATAAGTACTGAAACCGTTGAAGAGCTATATGACAAAAATACCTAAAATAAATATCCAAATTCATCTAAAGTCAACTTTGCCTGAGGGAGTTGAAATCTTAGTTTCTTAATAATTTAAAAATTTAAAAACGGACAATTTTAGAAAAGTTAGTTAAATCATGTCAGTACCGAAGTACCGACTACTGAGCTGATGATACCCTCGGGGACTGATAGTCCACCAGCGATATATGAGGTGACTGACTACTTAGACCACTGGGGCACAGAGGACCCTTGCAATTAAGGAGGAATAGTTTGTTGAAATTTGTTGTTATCAAATGAAGTTTACATTTGTAAAAAGCACTTGTAATGAACGAAATAATAACGTCGTCCCAAATCAGGAACCTTTAGCCTTTGTTAATCTTGTGTTTTTTAAAAAAAAAAGGTTCATTTGTATGTTTCGGAGTTTATTGTGGCGTCCACTTAGCTGAGCAAGTATACATTTTTGTTATGTTCCAGCTGAATCCCGCTTCCGGATGAGGGATTTTTCCCGCTGCGTTGAAGACCCATTAATGGCCTTGGGCGGTTTTCTGCTCTTTGATCGAGTTGTTGTCTCTTTCACACATTCGCCGTTTCCATTCTTTATTCTATTAAATACATGTAATCATATTGAAATGAATAAAAACCAAAAGGAACGTTTGCAAAAATGTACAAACGCACAACAACGCAATAGAAGTATAATACACAGAATCCTGCAAAATAGATAATAACTATCTCGTCTTGTTTCAGTTCAACAAATGCGTTATCTACAGAGCAGTCACATTGAAAGTTACATCAAATATGACGTAAAAGACCTTGAATCTAGAAGCCTTCACTCAGCAGTTGATGTTGAAACATATAATGAAAATAATTTACAAAAGTTAAGTGAATCTACAAATCCAGGGCCTACTATAGAGAAATCCACAACTTCATTCATATCAAAGAGATCGAAACTGTTAAACTTTTCTCCGGAATATAGAAACTCAAATGGACATTTTATTAACTTTCAAGATATTGTTAATTCAAATATTGACATAATGTTGAATAAGAAAGAAAGAATTCCTTTACTAGATAACACATCAAATTACAGACCAGGACAACGCTTGACTAATAATCATCCAGAGGAAGAAAGAAGTATAAAAGAAACAAATGAATTCCAAAAGCATTCTTCTAACATTTCGTCAATTCTAAAGAAAAGTAATAGTTCAAATCAAACTCTAGTTTTATTGGTAACATACTTGCGAAGTGGATCAACCTTCACTGCAGACCTCATTCAACAAGCATCAGATATGTTCTATATATATGAACCATTAAAACCTTATGTGAAAGGTCAGCATTATTTTACAATAGACTCAGTTTGCCACACGATCAACGGAACATGCAGGTATTTATTGTATTATTTAATATTTTACTGGTAATGTTTAATATCACTTATGACATCATTCGAAATTAAGGTTTCTTTCTTAAGGGAATTAACGAACATTTTGTAAAATATTTGATTTATTTTTTTGTGAAAGGGAAGACAACTGTAATATCGATAGAAAATGTTTCGTCGGACTTAATAGACTTAATTGTGTCGCCAAGAAAAACTAGTAAGGTGAAAAATCAGTCGCGCATTCAAACATCTTTATCTTTAGAACTCAAAGCATTTGTTTCTCGTTTTTTAGCAACTCACAAACAAAATATTTTTTCCCCCACCAATTATCAATCCTTACCGTAAAGTTCCTTCGACTATCCGACATGTAGATATTCCAAAATTTAATTTAAATGTGTAATATTTGCTGTCAGATTGAAACCAAAACAGAAATATATGAATTAAATCAATAAAAAATGTTTTAAATTACTATTTTCAAATGTTTTACTGGTTTGTCTTTTATATTTATTTATTTATTTATATATAGCTAAAATTATGTTTGAACTTTTTTAACTTCTATGATCTTCTATTGCAAACGCAGTAATGTGAAGATTGCAAAAAAAAGTTATCCTATAGTCGACAATAGTAGCCTGTTACGAGATACGGACCATACAAAGTTGATTTTTAGAACGAAACCTTGCTTAAATATTAGGACAGTATTTTTTAGTTCCAAAAATATAGGTTCCCGTTGCTTTTCTTAATGAAATGTGTACTTATCTCCCTTGTCATTCAATTCTGCACTTAAAACACGTGTCCCATCACAGCGTAACAATGACTTCTCAGTTCCGTTAGGGCTTCGGAAAATATATTATTTTGCATATAATACAGAAATGCACGAAGTGTGTAGTAATAAAAAATACCGGCTGAACACATCGACTATGCAATCAGGATAAGCAATACTCTTAATTCTGAATACCATGTTTTGCGCCCATAACATTTAATGGTTGATTGTAACCTGAATGAACATTAGTATTTGATATTATAATGGTTTTATACTATAATTATGACGTAGGAACTATTGAACAAGTAACATACTTTGACTCCATTAAAATTGACATTTTATAATGTAGTACGTCTAAATAGGTCTGAATTACCAATCGTGAATTGTAAAAATGTTTAACAACAATATTTTCCTGATCAATACTTATATTCTACAAGTCGAAAAACAAACGATATATAAACTGAATATACGAAAAAACCTTAATTTTATAAAAAAAAAAAAAAAAATGGGAGAGATGACACCAAGGATGATAACAAAAACCATAACTTATCATGATAGCGTGTGTTAAATTTTTTGATAGGATGAATGTTACCTTACTATTAAGGACCCTTAGTTCTATAGCTTCACTGTAAGTCTATATAGCATTGTAGTCATTGTCCTTTAATGACGATTTTGTCCCCAATTTTGCCTTTTATCATGAAAACTGTAATAGATAGATAGAAACTTTATATAGCACAAATGATCAACAAGACAAGATCTACAAATAAGATATGAATGGTTAAAATCTTCAGTCAACTCGTTATTGGAGTTATTGCCCTTTAATGATATTTTTTTTTACATTTTTTTGCATTTTTTGCCTTATATTATCTTGAAAACTATGATAGATAAATAGAAACTTTAGAAAGAAAAAATTAGCAGCAGGATAATATCTACAATTATGTCACATGACTGAAATTGCGAGTTTAACTCTTAATAGAGTTGTTCCCCTTTAATGATTAATTTTACTAAAAAGTGACCATTGTTAAAGATGCAGGTGAGCGACACAGGCTTTTTAGAGCCCGTCTAGTTTAAAATTATGCCAGCGCTCTAAAAAGTTGGGGCGACTTTATTGAAATCGCATTGTCCGTCCAGCCGTTCGTCTGGTTGTCCAATGCATGTTTTCCCAGAAACTACTGAATAAAATAACTCATATTTAGTGTTGAGTTGTAAAGTGTGTACTTTTTGATCTGTCGACACCTACTTCCTGTTTTTCGATAGTTTAACTTACGATTGGGGTATGCTTAGCACGTCAACATGTGCATCTTTGTGTAATTTGCTTTTCAAGGTGACACGACTTTTTATATCAAACTTGATAGAGACTTCACTATTTATGTACCACCTTTGATAAGTATTTAGTATGACGATAAATTTTCACTTCTGTACTCTTACTCTGAACAACAAATTTGTTAATTTTGTAAAAATGTTTACTTCCGTACTCCTAACAACAAAATTATTATATTTAAATTTACCAGTGTACGTTGTTTTATTTAACGCCATTTTGTCCCAGGTTAGAGTTGTCTTATTGACACTCTTCCTACATCTTTTTTTATTACTAAACGTCTTTGTTATATAGGCACCTATGTTTTAATTTTGTATTTACTAGAAAATGCCCGCGAAAACAAAAGAGTTTTAAATTTCGCGGGCAGTACGTCGACTGAGCATGCGCGAAAGCGTATAAGACACGGATCGATAAACGTCTCCGAATTTCGATATTTTCTAAAAAATTGGCGTTTTCTATTGAAAAAAGATTGTTTCAAAGACAAATTTAGGAAGTACAAAGCACTACATTTATACGTCATATCACAAATATTTCCGACTTTGTATGGTTTCAGAGGAGTTGCGGCTCAATGAAATCGGTCTCTTCCATTAGTAGTATAGATATTGTGTCATAGATCAAACTTATTCGTTCAGTGTATGTTTACTTGTTTTTGTTTAAATGTCTTTTTGATCGAGTTAAGTTATTTCAATTGATATTTTATAGTGTGTCTTTTTATGTTGTAATGTTACACTACTGTCTCAGTTAAGAATGAAGGTTGGCGCTTGTCAAAACGTTTAAACCCGCTGCATTTTTATGCACTGTCCTTAGTCAGGAGCCTGTTGTTCAGTGGTTGTCGTTTGTTGGTGTGGTTCATAGGAGTTTCTCGTTTTTTATATAAATTAGGCCGTTGGTTTTCCTGTTTGAATTGTTTTACACTAGTCATTTTGGGGCCCTTTATAGCTTGCTGTTTGGTGTAAGCCAATGCTCCTTGTTGAAGGCCGTACTTTGACCTATAATTAGTAACTTCTTATACATTGTGACTTGGATGGAGAGTTGTCTCATGGTCTCATACCACATCTCCTAATTTTTATTGATAGAGTAGGTTCAAACCTGTACATACGTTTAGTTTTTGGAAAGTTTGCTATAGCTTGCTATAGCAATATACTTTCCTATGGCATCGGCCTCAAACCGGAAGTTGGACAGACTATCTTATTATGTCTACTCCTAGATAATGTAGTACTAGTGTTTGAATACTTATTCTAGGAAGATGCTTTTGAAATTTTGAGTTACTTCTATTTTGATAAGCTTACAGCTTGAATAAAAATGGACTGCATGTTCACCGACAATTCAAATGAATTTAACTTCATTTTGAAAATGGGAATCACAAACACTACTTCGCGGAATTGCCCTGCGCGGAAGATAATATCACATTAACACGAGACAGCAGTTTCTACGCTTAATTCATTGAAAATTGAAACGGCCTGATATTTATTTCGAGGTGTGTGGTTTTTTTTTTTACATTTATTCATGAAATTAAAGAATTCTTATTGTTGAGAATATCGTAATCTTTTCAATTTTTACGTTTGTAAATGGTACTAGGTGTGACCTATATAAATTATGCATACTTTGAACTGTCAGCCATTTTGTATGTTTATGTTACCTGTATGCTTTCCTACGGGATTCCCCAGACATGCGTGAGATTCATATATGTGAACCTCCCGACGGGATTACAATAATCCCGGAATAATTTCAGAAGTCTCCTCCCGTCCTCCGGTTGAAGCGAAAATAAATACCCTGTTTAAAATATTTCATGAAAGAACATTTTCCGGCGCTATTTATTACTACCATATTTACAAATGTTTATTAAAGACGTAAACGCCCGAGTGTATCGAAAGTATCCTAATATCTCGGCCCATAACAAACTCGGACTATAACAAACTCGGCCTCTAACATAATCGGCCTCACAAAATCGGACTAAAACAAAATTCGTATATATTTTTTTTTATATTAAGTAATTTTTTTAAAAAGTCAGAAAAAACCGTAAACCACACAATCACCTAATCGTAGTCTGAGTTTGTTCAATATATTTCTGCATATAAATAATGGTAGGCCGAGTTTGTTCTAGTCCGAGTTTGTTATAGTCCGAGTTTGTGATAGGCCGATTTTGTTTTAGTCCGAGTTATCCAGCAGCGTAATTGATGCAACATGTTTATATTTTGCCCAGGCCGGCGGCTATAAATTAACAAGTGATAATAGTTAGATTGAACAATGAACAGGTGACCGGATATTAAATACTCGATAATCATATTGCTTCTGTCTATGTCACACGCCAAGGATGAGTAAAGGTAAATACCGGCTTGATAGAAAAGTGCATTGTTTTTGTCAAAATATCAATCGGAAGGTTTTGATGCCAAAAAACATTTATAAACTTTCAATTCAGCAAAGAAATACTAGCTTTTTAACATTCCAATGCGGATTTAAGGACTAAGTGGATCCAAACTGACAGCAGAAAAACATTGACTCAACGACAGTTCACACTTGTCACAGCCTCCTAATTATAAGTGTTAGGATTAACAACTACACAAATTGTTACAAAGATAAGGATAACTTTGGTACAGTCAAGTGTATTAAAAGCAACCAAGTCAGCTACTACTTCTTAGAATAACCCAGTGTGCCAAGACAAGTGCTGTAGAAATTATTAAATAACATGTGTCCATGTAATATAGACAGTGCTTTACCTTGGACTATTATACTATTAGTCCCATTTATACTATTAGTATATTAGTCCCAGGCTTTACCTAATATATTTTAAAGTGTTTAAAACAATGAGTCTTAAGTTTTCCAGCAAAATGACTTTCTTAATGCTAAAATACCATACACAACTTTGATTATTGTGTGTTTGTTTACTTATCACGTTATAAATATGTATAGCAAATCATTTTTTATATACATGTACATGTACCTATGCTTATGACATTGCACACTAATAAAACGGATGGATGCATGAATAAAACACTATAGTTAAATTTTCTCTAATTTAAGTATTCGAAGAAAAGGTTAAATCATAGAATCTGAAATGATTATGATAGTGGACTTTATCCAATTTGTGCCCGTTTCATAAAGTTTGTGCTTTAAACTGGGTTATCAAACTCAGTAGGCAGTTGCATCATGGTTTTTGGACATGTCATATCCCAAAGTCTGATCAATTTTACCTTGACTTTGTCCTTTGATACCTATGGTAGTAAAACCTTGTGCAATTCGTGTCTGGGTCATATCTTTTGTACCTTAAAATGCTGTTGCATTTTGGGCTTAGGGTGTATCATATACCACTGACCTTTTTCAATTAACCCCTATGATAGTTAAACAGTGTCTGGTTTGTGTTTGGTGCATACGTTTTGAACTGAAGCACTTTATTTGACAAAACTTTGTACGCAGAAGCATCCTACTGACCTTGACATTCAATTTCAGAATTTACAGTATGAACCTCACACTTTGTTCCTGTGTCAGTAGGATTCTTTAAGATTGACCTATAATTAACAATGTGTCAACTCAACACAGAGGCAAAGATTATATCAAATGAATGGCTGAACACCAAAAATCTCAAAATGTCATTGCCTTAATGCTGAATTTCACAGCAGCAACTAAAATGTATTACATGGTTATAAAATAAAGTACCTCTAGGAATCTAGTGTATATTAATTTTTTATTCCTGTCCACAAATTGCCATTGTTGATTAAAGCTTTTCATATAAATTAACTTTCATTACAGTTGCATTGATTTAAGTTTGCTGTCTTATTTAAATTAAGAGTTTTGGTATTTTTTGCGAATGAACCAGCTATCCAAAAGAGTTCAAAGGAGGAAGATATATAAACAATTATAGGTCACCATACGGTCGTCAACAATGAGAAAAACTCATACCATATACATGTAGTAAGCTATAAAAGGCCCTGATATACAAAATGTGGAACAATTCAAACAAGAAAACTAACTGCTTAATTAATAATAATACAATTTACTAAAAACAAATATGAAGGACCTAAATCAATAAAAAATACAAAAATTACGGGCCCTTTACATGGGATGGGCCGTGACAGAAAGAAATTTACAGAGCTTTCTGTATATTTGATTATTTTAAATCTACAGTTTAAGGTTGCAATAGAAGTAATCAAACTTTTACATGACAAACATATGAAAAAAAGTGATTTTTGATAATTGCTGATGAGACAAAGGTTTCGGAAAAACATCAAAGCTATTTCAAATAATACACATCTACCGTTGCAAACTTTCCATAGGTGCTATCCAGCACTTTGATTACCAGTATTCAGTTGTTTAACTTTCTGCATGCATGAATGTATCCATGATTTATAAAGCAAAATATCAAGTCAAAATAAACTTATGTGTGTCATGTTTAAACGTAGGCCTTTTCATATGTTTTAGGAAACAGAAGGGAAGGCGAGAGAACATCGACAATATTTTAGACGACTTAGCCAAATTTTATAAATGCGATTTGCTTCATGTGCCAATTTCTTACTTCCGCTTCTCAAACAAGAGTACAACAATGCATCAGTTTGACCATTGCAGACATTATAATACACAATATAATTGTCTTTTAGAATTCCAGGATAAATGCAGAAAATCCGTAAGAATGATTAAAACCATTAGAATGAATATGAAAGTAGCAGAAAAGCTAATAGAAGAATTTCCGCAGTTGAAGATTATACATTTAATTCGTGATCCTAGAGGTTCTTATCAATCAAGGAAAAATGGATACTTCTTAAAGAATCAAAATGACCTAGATGCGATTACGCGAAGTAATTGTGATAATTTAAAGTCAGATCTCAAAATTGGATCCCGATTAAAAGCAATTTATCCCAATAGAATAAAAACAATATTGTACGAAACAGTGGCAGAACAACCATTAAAAGCAGCAAGGAGTCTTTTCCGATTTTTAGGATTAACTGAACCAGCAAATTTTGAATCATGGCTAGGGAGTCATACAAAGGCAGGCTATAGTAATGGATATTATGACACCGTCAGAAGAAATTCAACAACAACAGCTAATTTATGGAGAAAATATATCAATTTAAAAGTTGTTAAATCATTTGACAAAAATTGCAAAAAGGTTTATAAGATATTAGGTTTAAAAGAATTGCCTAATTATTCAACATTACATAATACATTCATATCATCTAGATACAAAAGTCCAGTTTTCGGTGAATATTTGGAATAAAAAAAAACATTCACTTTCGCAATATCTAAAATAATTTCCTGATCTGTTTGACAGGGTCAACTGAACAGAAATATTAATATTATGTTTCTTTTATACTGATAGGATACATATCACAGACCCACAAAATTCGTTTTGTATTGCATTGTTTTAGTGGGTTACATTTCCTTGATCATTCAATGAAATAAAACACCGTTCATAATGCCAATTATGACTCCCGTGTATGACCAGACAGCGAGACGACACGAGAAGTGAAAAAGTCGGATTACTAGCTATCCTCAATGATCTGGAATTTCCTATCAATGTATGAACGCAGTCATATACGTTCGTTACAGAGTCCTATGGATCGGGAATGGTCCGTAGAGATCGGCCAAATACTCCCGATAGTTAGGTGCGTTCCGTATCATTCGAGAAACGCGGCCGATTTTGTCTAGTAAGGTTCCATGCAATTTGTACATATCATTTCAGTCATTGATTTTGGTAATTATGATAAAATTAACAAGAAAGTAGAAAATCCTTCCATTGATATACTCATTAAGGCCCATACTCAGTATTTCAGAAAGGGTGCGGAAAAATCGTTGTAGAGAGCGACCTCCGATTGAAAAAAATCATTAAGACCCATACTCAGGATTTCAAATAGGGTGCGGTAAAACATCGTTGTATAGGCAGTACTTCGTTGCCGTTGACCTGAATTTATACTTTATTTCAACAAATTCTCTTGACAGACACTGATAAAAACAACACAAACGGAGGATTGTGTATTTTGCAAATCCTTGCAATTACTTGGTAAGACAAATGTCTAAATTTAGGCTTAGATATGATCTAGTTTTCTTGGAAAAGCTAAAATACCGAAATCTGAGTATAACCATGCATAAACATGTACTCAACTAAAACTGGTGTAATAAAAAAAAAAGCAATGAAAGACACGCTCAGTAAGAAATTTGCATTTTATAGGAATCGCAGCTGCAATTTTCAAATGTCCTGAATGACCATGAATTGTGTAAAAAATTGCTTAAGATTTTTGTTTATCTTAACGTACAAGATAATATATCGGAGAAAAATATAACTTCAGTGTTTTGATTGCGAATTGAAGTGGGCTTAACGTTTTTGTTAGGTTCTATTTAATTGCAATTTAAATATAAATTCAGTTACTTTTGATAGTGCTATGGATATATGCATGACAGAATTATTTACTTAATGAGTATAGTAGTCAGCCTTCATGTCCATAACCTGATATCAAAATGAAACCAGTAATTTGCTGGCCGGTAATTCCATCAGTCACATATCATTTCTATCCATTCGACATGTCAGATCGTTGAAATTAATGGAGTTGACTGTAATATTCATAGATGAATGTAGTTTGATTCATATCTGAATCCTAATAATTATGTACTGTCTAGTTTAGATTTTGTTTATATAACTGTTCTTTTTAATAAATAAACAAACAAATAAATTGGTTTTGATCAATTGCCCACGAAAAAAATGTTTAAAAAACTAACAGTTTTGACTGACAATCAGTTATGGCATATTTTAATTGTAAGAACTATTGCACTTTTTGTAGCTATGCATAAATATGGTGCGGCAGGTTTGAATAAGGAAAAAATACATTATTGATACATTTTCACAGAAACAGTGATATTTATGTTTATTTAAAGCACACTTTAGTGATTTTGGTTGGGTAAATCTGAAACAACAACACATGTTTAAGATACCATAACATATCACTAAGAATTAAAATAGAATAGTACTCATATCTTAGAAATAAGAAGATGTGGTATGAGTGCCAATGAGACAACTCTCCATCCAAGTCATAATGTGTAAAAAGTAAACAATTATAACTCCAAGTACGGCCTTCAACACGGAGCCTTGGCTCACACCGAACAGCAAGCTATAAAGGGCCCCAAAAAAACTAGTGTAAAACAATTCAAACAAGAAAACCAACGGTCTAATCTATATAAAAAACGAGAAACGAGAAACACTTATGAACCACATTAACAAACGACAACCACCGAACAACAGGTCCATGAGTTAGGGCAGGTGCAAACAAATGCAGCGGGTTTAAACGTTTTAACAGGCGCCAACCTTCACCCTCACCTGAAATAGTAGTGTAACATTACAACATAGAAAAACACACTACAAAATATCAATTGAAATGGCTTAACTCAATCAAAAAGACATGTTAACAAAAACAAGTAAACATACACTGAACGAATAAATTTCTTCTATGACACAATATAAATAAAAAAGGGGAGATGTAAAACAATGTCAAAAAGACAACTATAACCTTGGACAAAATGGCGTTAAATAAAATAACGTACACAGGTACATTTAGATATAATAGTTTTGTTGTTAGTACGGAAATATTTTTTACAAAATAAATAAATTTGTTGTTCATAGTACGAGAACAGAAGTGAAAACTTATCGTCATACTAAATACTTGTCAAAGGGGGTACATATTAAAAATAGTGAGACGAGATATAACACAAAATAAGTAAACATTGAAAAAAAAAAAAAAAAAACAGTCAAAGAAGACATGACTTGCGCAATGCCAAAATGATTGTTTACATTAATTTTTGTCTGGTACGATTTGAATCTTTCGCATACGAGTTATTAAACATGTATTTTCCGAAATTTAAAAAAAAAAATCAATTGGTTTTTGCATCATGCATGTTCTGAACTATAATATCTTTAATTTTTTGTTTTACCAACGGTTGATAACAATATATGTCCCATCCAATATCTTTGATATCTAAAAGATAATTAGTTACTTATTCTCAGGTTTAGGTTGAAACGGCCGTTATTTGATTTACAGATATGTAAAACAAATGAAACATTTTCAATTTTCAGCCATTTTTATCCATATGATAAATACAGTAACCCAAAAATTTATCAACGAATTTACCATTCCAAATTTGATATGTTTTTTTTTAAATATTCACGTAATTTGTTGATTTTACAATTCTTCTAATCTATAACTTCCTTTCTTTCATACATAAAACACCAAACTATTAGTTTCATGGCCAGATGATATCAAACTGAATTATCAATCATAACATGTGATTTGGTAAATCGATTAGACCAGAAAAATAGGAGTCCTCACTCAATTACTGGTGACTCTCTTCTAACGCTTACTCCATGCCCCCATTCCCGCGATTTCGTCAAAATAAAAGACTTTCAACTTGGTATTTTGCTGCGGAATTTATTACAAAAGAGTCACAATGGACTAAATATAAAGCAATTTGGCAACAGTGACGACGCGACAGGTGTCCAACAAAGTGATAGGCTTTCTCAGTAGGCAGTTGCATCATGGTTTTTGGACATGTCATATCCCAAAGTCTGATCAATTTTACCTTGACTTTGTCCTTTGATACCTATGGTAGTAAAACCTTGTGCAATTCGTGTCTGGGTCATATCTTTTGTACCTTAAAATGCTGTTGCATTTTGGGCTTAGGGTGTATCATATACCACTGACCTTTTTCAATTAACCCCTATGATAGTTAAACAGTGTCTGGTTTGTGTTTGGTGCATACGTTTTGAACTGAAGCACTTTATTTGACAAAACTTTGTACGCAGAAGCATCCTACTGACCTTGACATTCAATTTCAGAATTTACAGTATGAACGTCACACTTTGTTCCTGTGTCAGTAGGATTCTTTAAGATTGACCTATAATTAACAATGTGTCAACTCAACACAGAGGCAAAGATTATATCAAATGAATGGCTGAACACCAAAAATCTCAAAATGTCATTGCCTTAATGCTGAATTTCACAGCAGCAACTAAAATGTATTACATGGTTATAAAATAAAGTACCTCTAGGAATCTAGTGTATATTATTTTTTTATTCCTGTCCACAAATTGCCATTGTTGATTAAAGCTTTTCATATAAATTAACTTTCATTACAGTTGCATTGATTTAAGTTTGCTGTCTTATTTAAATTAAGAGTTTTGGTATTTTTTGCGAATGAACCAGCTATCCAAAAGAGTTCAAAGGAGGAAGATATATAAACAATTATAGGTCACCATACGGTCGTCAACAATGAGAAAAACTCATACCATATACATGTAGTAAGCTATAAAAGGCCCTGATATACAAAATGTGGAACAATTCAAACAAGAAAACTAACTGCTTAATTAATAATAATACAATTTACTAAAAACAAATATGAAGGACCTAAATCAATAAAAAATACAAAAATTACGGGCCCTTTACATGGGATGGGCCGTGACAGAAAGAAATTTACAGAGCTTTCTGTATATTTGATTATTTTAAATCTACAGTTTAAGGTTGCAATAGAAGTAATCAAACTTTTACATGACAAACATATGAAAAAAAGTGATTTTTGATAATTGCTGATGAGACAAAGGTTTCGGAAAAACATCAAAGCTATTTCAAATAATACACATCTACCGTTGCAAACTTTCCATAGGTGCTATCCAGCACTTTGATTACCAGTATTCAGTTGTTTAACTTTCTGCATGCATGAATGTATCCATGATTTATAAAGCAAAATATCAAGTCAAAGTAAACTTATGTGTGTCATGTTTAAACGTAGGCCTTTTCATATGTTTTAGGAAACAGAAGGGAAGGCGAGAGAACATCGACAATATTTTAGACGACTTAGCCAAATTTTATAAATGCGATTTGCTTCATGTGCCAATTTCTTACTTCCGCTTCTCAAACAAGAGTACAACAATGCATCAGTTTGACCATTGCAGACATTATAATACACAATATAATTGTCTTTTAGAATTCCAGGATAAATGCAGAAAATCCGTAAGAATGATTAAAACCATTAGAATGAATATGAAAGTAGCAGAAAAGCTAATAGAAGAATTTCCGCAGTTGAAGATTATACATTTAATTCGTGATCCTAGAGGTTCTTATCAATCAAGGAAAAATGGATACTTCTTAAAGAATCAAAATGACCTAGATGCGATTACGCGAAGTAATTGTGATAATTTAAAGTCAGATCTCAAAATTGGATCCCGATTAAAAGCAATTTATCCCAATAGAATAAAAACAATATTGTACGAAACAGTGGCAGAACAACCATTAAAAGCAGCAAGGAGTCTTTTCCGATTTTTAGGATTAACTGAACCAGCAAATTTTGAATCATGGCTAGGGAGTCATACAAAGGCAGGCTATAGTAATGGATATTATGACACCGTCAGAAGAAATTCAACAACAACAGCTAATTTATGGAGAAAATATATCAATTTAAAAGTTGTTAAATCATTTGACAAAAATTGCAAAAAGGTTTATAAGATATTAGGTTTAAAAGAATTGCCTAATTATTCAACATTACATAATACATTCATATCATCTAGATACAAAAGTCCAGTTTTCGGTGAATATTTGGAATAAAAAAAAACATTCACTTTCGCAATATCTAAAATAATTTCCTGATCTGTTTGACAGGGTCAACTGAACAGAAATATTAATATTATGTTTCTTTTATACTGATAGGATACATATCACAGACCCACAAAATTCGTTTTGTATTGCATTGTTTTAGTGGGTTACATTTCCTTGATCATTCAATGAAATAAAACACCGTTCATAATGCCAATTATGACTCCCGTGTATGATCAGACAGCGAGACGACACGAGAAGTGAAAAAGTCGGATTACTAGCTATCCTCAATGATCTGGAATTTCCTATCAATGTATGAACGCAGTCATATACGTTCGTTACAGAGTCCTATGGATCGGGAATGGTCCGTAGAGATCGGCCAAATACTCCCGATAGTTAGGTGCGTTCCGTATCATTCGAGAAACGCGGCCGATTTTGTCTAGTAAGGTTCCATGCAATTTGTACATATCATTTCAGTCATTGATTTTGGTAATTATGATAAAATTAACAAGAAAGTAGAAAATCCTTCCATTGATATACTCATCAAGGCCCATACTCAGTATTTCAGAAAGGGTGCGGAAAAATCGTTGTAGAGAGCGACCTCCGATTGAAAAAAATCATTAAGACCCATACTCAGGATTTCAAATAGGGTGCGGTAAAACATCGTTGTATAGGCAGTACTTCGTTGCCGTTGACCTGAATTTATACTTTATTTCAACAAATTCTCTTGACAGACACTGATAAAAACAACACAAACGGAGGATTGTGTATTTTGCAAATCCTTGCAATTACTTGGTAAGACAAATGTCTAAATTTAGGCTTAGATATGATCTAGTTTTCTTGGAAAAGCTAAAATACCGAAATCTGAGTATAACCATGCATAAACATGTACTCAACTAAAACTGGTGTAATAAAAAAAAAAGCAATGAAAGACACGCTCAGTAAGAAATTTGCATTTTATAGGAATCGCAGCTGCAATTTTCAAATGTCCTGAATGACCATGAATTGTGTAAAAAATTGCTTAAGATTTTTGTTTATCTTAACGTACAAGATAATATATCGGAGAAAAATATAACTTCAGTGTTTTGATTGCGAATT